GCACACAGGCAAAACTTGACACTTTGTACTGAGGCATGTCCAGGCAGGGAGCAGAAGTAGGGCAAGCTATATTAGGAAGAGCAGACATTATTCAGTGTCTCTCACATGTGCTGGGACAATTGTGACTGGGGCAGTAAATGCAACTATGATTGAACGAGCTGAAAAAGTTTAAGGTTCTAATAGCAATGGGAGACATTTTGGAATGTGATTATTCTGACAGAGTCCTTCTAAGCAGTAGGATGTTACTGTTTCTATTCAAAATGCTGTCATTCTTTGTGTGGTGTTAAACCAAGATGGAAGCTGGTTCACATGCTCTTACAGGGGGCTTCTACATGAGTCAGTTTACCATTTTCAGGCTCCTAGCAAGAGAAGCCTCATTTTGAGATTAAGCTCCCATCATCCCACAGCTGCATGATGACTTAAAATGTTTAAGTCCCTTTATACTTTTTTATGGGCTATAAAGAGAAACTGAAAGATCTGACAGACTCACAGACAATATCTACTTGATTTTATTTTTTAAAAACAAATATGGATTAACGGCAGTTCTGGTCTCCCGAGATTTCCAGCATGAACTTCAGCACAATCTGTGATGGTGATTAGAAATGTTCTCACCCCAGCATTTAGAGGTTCAGGGTGTTGACTCTCTGAAACTTCCTTTCTTCCAAGTATTTATTAAGCACTGGAGTTAGCAGTGTAATAGTGTAGACGATTAAATGACTAACCAATAAGCAAAAGCTTAGTGGTTAATGCTATTGACTACACACGTTCCCCCCACACACCAGTACATTTTTAGAGGGCTGACCAGCAGCATGGCTCAGTCTTGGCTGGGTCCCCAGAACTACTCCACTGCAGCTCTACAGAAAATGTATTTTAGGAGCTGGGTGGCCAGGCAACCTGACTCAGTCTTGACTAGCACTGAGTCCTGGAGCTACCCCTTCTGAGGCTCTGCATAAACCGCAATTTAGGAGCCAGGCAGCCCAGCTCATTGCCAGCTCATGCCAGGTCATGGGAGCTACCCCCACTGCAGTTCTGCATAGAAAGTAGTTTAGGAGCCATGCGGACAGGCAGCCTGGCTCAGTCCTGACTCATGCTGAGTCCAGGAGCTACCCCCACTATGACTCTGCATGAAAAGTAAGTTAGGAGCCAGGGGTAGCTCCCAGGACCCAGCATGAGGTGGGACAGAGCTGGGTTGCCTGTCCACTTTATGCAGAGCCTCAGTGGGAGTAGTTGCCAACCCAGCATGAGCTGGGACTGAGTGCTATCCCTTATCAATTAATCATGTAGTTGACAAGATTTTTGTTGTGTACACAATTAATTTCATGTTTCTGAATATCCCTAATTGGAGCTAAGTATGTAATATACTTGAAGCAGATATGTAAAGACAAACCAGTTTCTAATATAAATGGAAAGCAGAGAAGAAAAAAATATTCCTCAAGTAACTTTAATGGCACCTTCAACCATCCTGAGCAAACAAGGGGCAGGGTATTATTTTTTCTTTGCAGGCACCTTTAAATAAATTCCACATGTGCTCTTCTTGGGCCCATTTAAAGTACAATTAGAATTTTCAGACCCAATCATAAACAGGTCTAGGGCTTTAGCCAAATTATGGTGAAGGGCCATACACACTGCGATACTGCCTTTTGTGTCTTGTCATCTAATCCTCAGAGATGGATTTGTATTTGTGTTGCTGGTCAGGTCAGATACAGTGGGCCTGGATTTGCTACTGCATTGGAGAGGAGGCCCAGAAAAGTTCTCTCCAGAAAAGCCTGAAGTGGGAATGGCAGCACAACCCTGCTCAGATGGATCTGGGAAGCTGAGAGTGGTAGAGAGGCTCCTGCCAGAAATCCAGAGGGGATCTAAGGGTCAGCAAGGAGACAGGAAAACTCTCCATACCAGACAGATGAAAAGGCATAGTTGGAATAACCTGCCATGAGGAGTGGGAGAGGAAATCTTAAAAGGGAGGAGATTTGAGAAAATGCCAGCCAACAGGACTCGGATTTGGAAAGAACAATTTAACTCTGCAAGGGGCTGAAGAAATCATAGAGTGGAGGACAGATTTGATTTGGTTTATGTTGACATTTGAACTACTCTGTTTTAGTAACAGATCTTCAGTCTGATTTATTTGACTTGCCTGGGTACAGTTCTTGGGAAGACCAAAAAGGGGAAAACAAGGCCATAACAGCAAGGTCTTTGGCTGAACTGGATAAGACCTTGCTATATGCTATCTACAGTAGAAATGGGTACTGTGCTGTAATGGCACCAGGGTCAACTGCATTGTAATTGTTTTCGTGCCTCAGTTTTAAATTGCAGTGTAAACAGGCTCACAATGTGAGGGGAGAGGCCAATAAGAAAAGGCAGGTGACAGTAAAGTAAAATGTTTCCTGAAGCAGATTGCTCTGAACACTTACAGAAGAGCAACTTAACTACAGATACAGCAAATTCACATTTCTTAGTGTTTACCAGCAATACAGACACAATTACCTGTATTATGAGAGTGCTTTTTTCATGTTAGCCTTGAATCACTTCCCATTAGAAATGCCAGCAGATTGAAATAAAGTGCATGAAACAACAAGTATGCTATTGAAACACAAGAGAAGTTGTCTTTTGGGTCCTTTGTATTATACAAAATAAACACATATCAGCTGGGAAAAGAACAGTGCTTCACTAGCAATCCTATCATGGGAAAACTGATACTAGTTGAACCTCTAGTCTGGCACTCTGATCCAGCAACATCCATGGTCCAACATGATTTTAGTTAGCTGGGTGTCCACTTATCATAGGTATGACCAAGTTTCCTGCAGTCCCATAAAGTTTGTTTACAGCCACCAGTCCTGGTGCTCTGTGTTCTTATTTAGCTCTACTTTGCCATTAAGGGCATCTAGACTGCCTGCGTCTTTCGAAAGAAGATATGCAAATTGGGCACTATCCTGTTTTTGGAAGAGTTTTTTTTGGGGGGGGGGGGGAGAAAAAAAAAACTTTTGAAAGTACCTTTCTTCCTAAAAAAAAATTAGGTGTACAGGGTTCTTTTGAAAAAGGGTTTCCCCCCCCCCCCCAAAAGAACAGCATTTAGACTGCTTTAAAAAAAAAACTCTTCTGAAAATGGGATCAGAAGAAGATATGCAAATTCACACCAAATTTGCATATTTTCTTTCAAAAGCGGTGGGCAGTCTAGATGTCTTATAAGAGCTTAGTAAGCAGTACAAGTGTTCTAATGCTGCTACACAACATTGACCTTCCTGGTCTGGCAAATTCTCTGGTTTGGCACCAGTCAGGTCCCAAGGGTGACAGACTAGACAGCAAATGGTCTGGTAGCATTTTATAGACTAACTAAACATGTAGATGGTATCATGAGCTTACACAAGTTTAACCTGTCCTAGTATTATCAGTCTCTATTTTTAGATGGTTACAACTTTTCACAAACATTCTTTGAACTATAATTGTGCGCGTTTGTTCTTGGTCTAGAGAGACTCTTTAGGAAGTAAGGAAGAAATTGTTTGATTCCTTTCAAAATACTAAGCTGTGGGAGAAAGTAGTCATTTTCAGCAGTTAAAACATGTTAGGCACTTCAGAGAACTCAGATAACCCAAAAGCCTTTGTTTATGGAGTTAGGATAAAATCCTGGTTGCCTTACTCCTTGGTAATCACACTGATTTCCTGTGTATCATGTGACTAAGGATTTGGTCTCCCACTCCTCAGTCACCTCAAGTACCTTTGATGTTATGAAGAAAGTTCATCTAGAAACTGATATTAATTTCCAAATTGTTTCCTGATCATTCCCGTGCTATCTCCTACCCATTATTGTTGGCAGAGTACCAACAGATTATACAATTTTATTAACATTTTTGTATACACACTTATAGAATGTACTGACACAAGTGGAATGCTCTGTGGGTGTGCACACACACGTTCATATACCAAAGACTGATACCATCTTCCTACGCTCTTTATGCAGACTCACAAACCACTCTACCATGTTTTCTTGTTCTGGTTCAAATATTCCACACGGTTGGCTGGGGAAGATGTAAGAGTTCCAATTCTGCTTCCACTGAGGGTAACTGCAGTTTTGCTATTGAATTTAATGGGAGCAGGATTTGGTGTAAAATTTAAAGCTACAAGTAATATGTCCAGAAAAGAGGGAGTCTGATTTCCATTCCTCTCAACAACATGCCTTGGAAAGGATATAGGACACTTATTAGCAGAAGTAGTCTACACATAAAAGTTAAAATTTTGTCCCTTAATACCTTAAATTATTATTAATTGATCTTAAAAAGATATTGATGCAAAATGCAAATATAACTCGTTTTGGGGGCAGGAGGTGTACAGCAATTGTGCTTAAACTTCCCAATTTTGCTTTAGAAAACTGTTACTGTTAGAAAACTGTTGAAATCGCAGTGTTCTCTGTACTCACCTATATTTTGTATAGGAAAATTCCATTAATACAGAGGTAGGTAACATACTAAATTGGGAGCTCTTCAGGGCAGGGACCCTGACTTCCTTTATGTTTGCACAGCACTCAAAGATGTTAAATTGTGGTTATCTGGCTAATCATGCAGTCGATACAATTTGTATTGACTACACAATTAGTTGATAAGAGGGCTGCTCTTCAACACTGCCAGGCTCTCACTAAAATTTAAAACACAGAGGCACATCATCCAGGACCAGAGTGAGCCAGGACTGCTCAGTCCCAGCTTGTGCTGAGTCCAGAAGCCCCTGTCCTTTGCAGCAGCCTCCCCATCCCCCCTGCTGCCTTTAAGCTTATGCTTATTGATAGTCGACTAGTCGCTAACATCTCTAACAGCACCTAACCCTTTATAGGCACTATTGGTTGTAAATTAAATGAACAAAACACCAGCAATTTTATATAAGGCAACTGAAAAGGTTAAGTGTATTCACTTGCACATGAAAACATTTAACATACAATAAATAATGCAATAATTTGATTGCCCCTATGCTGCAGTAGTTGTGTCCCACTACTATTATAACATTGGAAGATGCCTCACCTTAAAACCAGGAGTATACAGTTTCTCCAGTTCAGTCATTTAATCTCAAGGTAATTCATCCAATTGTTACATACAGTTACAGTACTTAACTGCATCCAACCTGAAAAGCAAAGACAAGTTAGTTACAATGAATGAAGCTCAGGTGGTGGTAAGTCCCATGCCAAACTAATTCTGAATTCTAAAGGCTCTTTTTAAGGGATAATGATGGGAGCTCAAGGCATGTCTTCAGGTTAATTACTGGTTGGGTGAGATGATGGCCCATGGTTTTGCCTCGGGGTAATAACCCCTGCATGTCACTTTATCCCCATAGGAAATGCACTGAGTCAAGTTCATTTTTGGTCTTATAAACCGTTGCAGGATAAAAAGGTTAATCTTAAATGTTTATATATGGTTCCCACTCCCATGTTTGTAGTGATTGTGGATAGCTTTTGGCAATGCCTATATATTGTTCCACAGAGAGATGTAAAAACAACTTCTCTTATTAGGTTTGATGCCAAAGACGCAATAAAAAATCCACCTGTTTACAGGGAGTCAAGTAGTATTCTTCTGAGTAACGGACTGAAAAAAGAAAACACAAAACAATATAACATTAGTGACTTAAATTTTGGGAGTACCCCAGTGTGCCACTTCACTAGCCCTCCCTAGGGTCTCCAGGCCAGTGCTGCACAGAATAGTGGACCAGGGAAAGTCATGAAGGGTAGTGGGAGGTTACAAAATGAGAGTTTCACAAGCTTCCCAAAACTTCTAAGGCCAGCTCTGAATCTGGACTCAGATCCAAAACTGGTCTTCACCTAATTTCAAGGGTGTTACAGTTTTGGTTAGGACCCATCTCTACTCATTATTATTTGTTGTCTTGATTTGATTTAGTTGGAGTTGTTCCTGCTTTGAACAGAGGGTTGGACTAGATGACCTCCTGAGATCTTTTCCATCCCTAATCTTCTATGATTTAATTATTTGTTTTGAATTAAAAAATGTAACCCCCCTCCCCCAATTCTCCCACTCCTGCCTCTAAGCAACCTGACAAGTCACCAAACATCACCCATGGCACTAAATTAGAAAATTAGCAGAAAAACAGCAAATTCCACCTGACTCAAAAGTCATATGATATATTACACACAAATATAAAACAAAGTTACACACAGGGCTGGATTATTCACCTCATGTACCCCTAGGCACAGCATCTCCACCACCTCCTGCCTACAATTGGCCTGTGTGTTTTCCACACACAAAAACAAACAAAAAGAAATATAAATAATAATGTAAATACAGTATTCATTTTTTAATCCAACTGTAACTTTTAGGCACCTCAAGCATGCATCTACTTTCATGTGAGCTAACAGGCACTGCAGGACCAGGGGCAAGGTATAGGGGGCTGGCTCTGCATCCCCAGAAGGGGCAGAGCCTCGAGTGGAAGGAGCAGGGCTGAGGATAGTCAATCCTTAGCATTGCTGCGAGGATGGCACTGTGCCCTTTGCCTCAACCCTCAGAGCTGCACAGAGTAGCAGAGCAGCATTCCTGTGGAAATTCAAAGGGGTTTGGGGCTCAGCCACCACTACCCCATGTTGTAGTGCTAGCTCCCTTGGAAATGCCAGACTCCTGTGCAATTACCCCTGTTGTCCTTCATCAGCGGGCCTGCCTACTGTGCCTAATCATCTGTTTAGCCACACAGCTCACCATGGGCACATCACCCCACTGCTCGTCTCTGTATCTTAAGATTCAAAGCAATTTGCATATGCTCAGTAGATACTAAGATTTTAGCAGCTAAATACCTCCCAAGATTCTGGCTGAACTGTGCATGCTTCAGCTCAGGGCTGAGCAGGGCTTTCCCTGCAATGGTCGCTCTGAGCTGCTGCAAGCTGTGTTGGGTCCAGCTCTGGGCACCTGAAATGTCAGTAAGGAGACTCTCTCCTGTGCTCTCAGAGGATCCTTGCTAGATCCAGGCAGATTAGGGATGGTTCTGCCTCCTTCACAGTGATGTGAGGCCCAGGACACCTCCCTCCTACCCTGAGCCCCAACCAACTTCTTCCAGCCCCTGCTCCACTCCAGCCCTTCCCAAAACCCAATCTCTGCCCCCCTTCCTCTTGCCCCCAATGTACCACAACCTCTCAACCAATGCAACCTATGGGGAATCTGGGGCAGAGAGGGGGTGTCAGCACCAGTCCTCCGCCAACTCTCCGCTGTGGCCGGAAGCAGAGTGACCCAGCTGCAGCCAGCTCTGTCCCCCCTGAGGCCAGCTCTCAGCCACGTCATTTGGGGGAGCAGAGCAACTCAGCTGGGAGTGGGCAGGGTTGAGTAGAGCAGGTTGGGTCTGAATCGCTCCACTTTCCATAGTTCCTGCCTCTGCTGGTGAGTGTGGTGGTGGGCTCACACCTCCCAGTAATCTTCCAGGCCATCCTGGGCCCTGCAAGGTTTCCCAAAGTGCAGGGCAGGGGGGGGCTGCCCTGTGTCAGCCAATAGACCAGATGGCCCTAGGAGGAGGAAAGTGCCTAATTTAAATGCAGAATGACCTAACTGACACTCACGTGGGTAGCATCTGTCTCCTGAAACCACTAACAGCTCCAGTCTGAGGTGGGTGAAGGCTGGCTCCACTCTCCGGGAAGGGGCAGAGTCTGAGGCGGAAGGGGCAGGACTGGGACAACCAGTCTTCAGTCCCCCCTAGAGCACACTGTATTGCGCCCCCCCCCCCAAAAGCAGCCCCTACTGTGGCAGCAGCTGTGATGGTTGGAAGCCCCAGACCCTTTCCAATCACTGGTTCCTGGGGCAGCTGGCCACTTTGCCCACCCATGTCAGCAGGCCTGCCAGCCCACACATACATCCCACAAACCCTTTTGTCAAGCTGCTGCCCTGACTACTTACCCTCAGTGGATTCTGAGTCCAGCTGTGGGGAACCTAGTGAGCATGCCCAGACCACCACACCCAAGTCCAGAAATGTCTGGGTGTGGCATGCTAATTTTATATCTACCTAGCAACAGTAACCCAGACACAACTCATTCTTCTCCTCCTTCTCCTTGCTAGAGCTCTTAAAGAGATAGCTCTCTATTAGCAGTAGCAGATTAGCTAGTGGGCCAACCCAGGGCCCATGGCACATTGGAGGCCCCCAGAAATATAGGCACCCCCATGCTCTCCCCACTCTGCCCACCTGGCACTCCTGCTGAGCAGCGGGGTGGGGGGCGGGGTTAGGGGGGGACAGAGGGACATGTTCCCTCTGCCTCATGCTACTGTCAGGAGTGATGGGAGTCCGTCCCCATGCGCTGACCCTACTCCCTGGCAGGAGTGCTAGGGGGAGGAAGGGTGACAGGACTGCAGGCAGAAGGGGTGCCTCAAATTACTAATCTAGATAGGGTTGCCAGTTTTGGTTGACATATTCCTGGAGATTTAAATCACATGGCAATGTTTAATTAACAATTAATCTTTAATTCCTGGAGATTCCAGGCCAGTCCTGGAGGGTTGGCAATCCTAAACCCACCTCTCCCTATTGGGCATGTGGTCTGCATACATTCCCTTCTAGAAGAACAGAATTAGACTGGAATAGATACAATTCCTTAGTATCATCAATCCTCTGCTGTCAGCAATTAGTTGTGAAATCCCAAAGCACTGACTGGGCAGGTGGAGGGTTTGAGGCTCCTCAGAACAGCCCTAGATCTCTGGGTGGCTTTAACATGCCCTGGCTCCAGCTCGGGGTGAGGTCTCGTGGCAAGTGGAGGCTAAGACTCACCTCAGCCCCCCTGAAACTTGGCAAATGTATGGAGCCATGCTTCTAGGAATCCAGGACAAATGCTGTCCATAAGACATTCAGCTAGCAGCTGGGACTTGAACTCTGCATTTCAGGATGGATGGTCACCCTAATTGTGAACTAAAGAAGACTATTGATCTCATAGGTATAGTTTGACTGCTATAATTGGGGAGAACAGCACACACATGTGCCAAGGCCAGTCCCCTGGCTCTCTTCCCCAACAGGGACTGGTATTTGAGCTGCCAGTGCTGAGGGAGGATGGGCCTGCTTACCAAGGGCTGAGGGGATGCTGAATGCTGGGATCGTACTAAACCTCTCCCCCCCACACACACACACACATTCCACTATCCCCTTCTCTCCCTACTGCTCCTTGCCCCCATCCTCCTTCTTTTCCCCAGTGTTCCTTGTTCCTATCCCCTTTGCCTCACCTCCACACCTTCCTCCTTTGCCCCATTCCCTTCTCTTTCCCCTGCCCTATTCTATTCCCTTACAGCCATGGAATGGCCGTATTGGATCAGACCAAAGGTCCATCTAGCCCACTATCGTATCTTCTGACAGTGGCCAATGTCAGGTGCCCCAGAAGGACTGAACAGAACAGGTAATCATCAAGTGATCCATCCCGTATTGCCCATTCCCAGCTTTTGGCAAACAGACTACAGACACCACCTCTACCCATCCTGCCTAATATCAAATGATTGACCTATCCTCCATGAATTTATCTAGTTCTTTTTTTAACCCTGTGATAGGCTTGGCCTTCACAACATCCTCTGGCAAGCAGTTCCACAGGCTGACCATACAATGTATGAAGAAATACTTCCTTTTGTTTGTTTTAAACCTCTTACCTATTAATTTAATTTGGTGACCCTTCATTCTTGTGTTAAGGGAAGGAGTAAATAACTCTTCTTCATTCACTTTCTCCATACCAATTATGATTTTATAGATCTTTATCATATCCCCCGTTAATCATCTCTTTTCCAAGCTGAGAATCCCAGTCTTATTAATCTCTCCTCATGTCGCCTGTTCCATGCCCCTAATCATTTTTGTTGCGCTTTTCTGGACATTTTCCAACTCCAATATATCTTTTTTTTAGATAAATTGATCACATCTGTGGGCATACCATAGATTTATATAGAAGCAATAAAATATTCTCTATCTTATTCTCTATCCCTTTCTTCATGATTCCCAACATTATGTTTGCCTTTTTCACTGTTGCTGCAAATTGAGTGGATGTTTTGGAAACTGTCCACAGTGACTCCAAGATCTCTCTCACAAGTGGCAACAGCTACTTTAATCCCCATCATTTTATATGTATAGTTGGAATTATGTTTTCCAATATGCATTACTTGAATTTATCAACATTAAATTTCATCTGCCATTTTGTTGCCCAGTCACCTCATTTTGTGAGATCCTTTTGAAGCTCTTCACAATCTGCTTTGGACTTTTACTATCTTACCTTCCTTTCAAACTGCCCCTTTTCTCCACCTCACCTCTCTTCCCCCATTACCTCTGCCCCAAACCATTCCGCTGGCCCTGCCTCACCACAGCCACTCACCATTGTACAGAAAACAGAATGGTGATCTTGCAGGGTGTCCCGCCCACATAGAAGAGGAAGATAACCAGCACTAGGACCCAGGAGTTGGTGTCAAGCTGTAAAATCACTGAGCCTCTACAGCCATCTTTCTTCACCCAGGCAGTTTTACTACTGCCAGGAAGGGAGAGGGGTCATGTGCCCTATACCTCACCTTTGTTTGCGGGAGGCAATGACACTCTTGTTCTCCCTAAACTATGCCCACATATTGTCTGCAGGAACCCAGCCTCATTTGTAAGGGGGTTGAAGGTCTGTAGTGAATCAAGAAGGCAACTGCAAAAACAGAAATCATGGTCTCATGGTTAAGGTAGATGTATGCTGCCCTGGAGAATTGGATTCTATACTTGCCTCTGCCACACAACTGTGGTCACAGATTGTATGCTTCATTAGCTGGGTGCCCAGATTTAGATTTGCAGAAGCACCGTACTCATAGCTGCAACTTGAAGTCTATGAAACTTGTGTTTTGAACATATACTATGCAGTATTATGCTAAGTACTCTGTTTTCTCTTTTCTCCTTACTCGGAGATTGTGTGTCTCACATTTAACACCAACATTAGTGGTTACTAATATTTTTACCTTAATCTCCGGGCCTCAGAGCCACATCTATAAAATTTGGATACTATTACTGCCACATCTCACAGCTATATTGTACATATTAGATAAGATTTGTGAAGCATTCACATTATAGTGATGAGCTCTGAAGAAAACCCCATGAGGAAATTACCAATTCTGTCTCCATAGTAGGATTTGAATAGTGTGCAATAAGGCCTTGGGCAACATATTGAACAAGGAGAAAACAAAATCCTGAACAGCTTCTTATTCAGTAAACACCATCTCCTATGCACTGATGAAGGTAGGTGTCCTGTGCAGAGGGAATGGGGGAGTATGTGATCATGTAATTAAAGGGATCAATTAAGGATGCACAAGCAAAATGAGATTTAATATTTCCTAACTTTAAAGTAATGGACTTTCCAGCCTTAATAATGTCCTTATAATGTAGTTTTGGGGTATAACATACACACGAATGCAATTTAAATATATGGTAATAAATCACAATGTAAATATAGTAGCTTGCACCTAATGGAAAGGTTTTTGTTTCACTGTTAATTAACTAAGAAGTATTTCCAAATGCTCAATAGAAAACTTTGGCATCAATATTTAATGAAGTACTGTAATAAGATGCTAATCATCTTATGAGATTAAGTGGCTAGGTTTTAGATCATGATGTAATGGTTGGGTATATCAACACTGATTCCTATTGCTCTCTAATTAAACACTAAACCAACATTAAAAATAATGGCAAGGGCCTATTTTAAACCCAAAAAGAAAAAAAGAGCTATGCTGATACCTTACTTAGTCATGTTATTGTGAGAATAGGACCAATGCATGAGTGAAGGGCAGTCTTTCACCATAAATCTTACCCCACATCAAGTCCTAGCCCAGTTTAAAGGCAGAGTTTTAAAGGAAAACTCCAGCAATATAATGAACAGAAGGTTCTAATGTAACAATCAGCCAGAAACCTTTGTGCACAGTAGGAGGGACTGGGTCCTGTGCAGTGGGATGCCAGAACCTCCCTTTATGTTCTGGCAGCAGGATGGGGATAGGGATTTTATACTGGGGCTATGTCTACACTGGTGCGATCTTGCGCCAGGAGTATGCAAATGAGGCTAAGCGTGGAATATCGCCGAGCCTCATTTGCATATCTAGTGAGCCGCCATTTTTGCAGACGAGACTCTTGCGCCAGAAGGAGCTGTCTACACTGCCCTTTCTTGTGCAAGACAAACCCTCTTGTGCAATGCCATTATTCCTGAAAATAATCAGCGTAACGGCATTGCGCAAGAGGGTTTTTCTTGCACAAGAAGGGGCAGTGTAGACAGCTTCTTCTGGCGCAAGAGCCTCTTCCGCAAAAATGGCGGCTCATTTGATATGCAAATGAGTCTCAGCGATATTCCACACTTAGCCTCATTTGCATACTTCTGGCGCAAGATCGCGCCAGCGTAGACATAGCCTGACAATGGCACTAAACACTCCAAAGATAGGGAAAGTGAGGCAATTTAGGTACCAAAGGATAAATTCCTCTCTGGTTCCTATATGCCACTCTGGTTATACATAGGAAATACAGTGGGCTGAGGGAGCATTCCCTCAATGCTCACTCAGCACAGGAGTCTGTAAGCAACTGCATACTGCCCTTCAGGAAAAGCTCCATTACAGAAGACAAAGTGGAGCTTGGATTGGAAGGGGGGATCTATATCACATGACACTATGCAGCAACTTACTTTGAGACTGTTTTGGCCCTGATGAAGTCCACAAACCAAAAGTGACAAGGCAGCCTAAAGCCTCCTCTGCCTTGCCCCCATCCCATTTCCCATGCATTTTAAAGCTTATTGTCTGTATTATTTTATGTGTCCGCTCATAATAGCAATTGTATCATATTATGTTAAGTAATAGTCAAATTCAGCTCTTTATGCTTATATATAAATAATCACCACAATTACATTGTGCTCCCCTCTTCTGTTTGTTTTATCCATCATTTGTCTCTCACCTTATGCTTAGCTTGTCAGTTTTTTGGGAGCAGGGACAGTCTTTTCACTTATAAATGGCATACACAGTTCTGAATCCTGATAGGTCCTGAAACCTAGAAGCCCCAGCAATACAAAATATATTTAATT